CAGTATGCTAATAATAAGCTAACACCATGAACTCTTTTCAGAATATTTATAACTCATGAGAATTTGCATGATACACATTGTCCTGACTCAAAAGCAAATAATCATTTACAAGACTTTTCTCGTGAGACCATCTATTAAACTTTATTATCATAGGAGAAGAATTTTTATCAGGCGACAATCCTCAAAAATAGATAGTTTGAATAATTTCTACGTATTAATTGAAATATTTAACTGTTTAAATATAAAACCTCTATATCATCAAGGTTCTTTTTTTTGCTATGATCTATCTACTGTTGAATATCAGAATATCAACATATTCTAATCTTTCAAATCAATCAATTGAATTTATAATATGTACTGAGAAAACTGGTTTATTGTGAAGAATTCTAATATCTTTTACTAAGTTTTCTCAATTGATTATATTCAATTTTTATTTATAATGAAATAACGAATAGAACAAGAATCATCGTGATATCAACAAATTACTGTAGCATGTTCTAAGTTTTAAATTATTTATGAATTAATAGTAAATGCATGGCACTAATTAATTTTGATAAAGAAAAAGACAAAAGTTCTAATAATATTGTATATTATTTTTACTCGACAAAGTACTCATAATTTATATAAAATTTTTTGTTGTTTCATAATTGCAGTAATATGGAAATAAGCAAAAGACAAATATAGTTTGTGAACTTTCAAATACGTTTATAGTACATTATAAAAACTTAAGTTAATTGATTTTATTTTTTGGTCAAATCAATAATTTATGATTTTCGAATAGACAAACGTTCTTTTTTATTTTTGTTAAGAATTATTTTTTTCCACATAATTTTCATTTAGTTTTAGATTTAATATAAATGTCCTTGAATTTGATATCGTACTAGCATGTATATAATTATTTCTCATTGAATGAGAAAGACTTTCATGATGATATATATTTTCCACCTGTTTTTCATTTGTTTTTATCATCTCGATAATTATTGTCATTCTCATAATCAAATTAATCATTGACAAATAATTCTCATCATGCAATGTTTTTCTTTCTTATTAATGTTTATCAGATATGTCACTCTATTTGATTTATTTTTGTGAGACACAATGATTAAAGATCTATTTTATTAGAAATATATTCTTTTAAAGAAAATTCACCTACATAATGAAAGTTATTGTCTTTAGTAAATTTCAATCATTGATCTAATTGTAAACAAATATTGATGATATTAAATAGATTACTTAGATGTTAGAGAATAATTAGTTAATAAAACCAATACAAAATGATTGATTTGAATTCGACGTAGAGAATATTCTACTCAATTTTTCGTATATTCCTATACTAATTTGACATCAATAGTTTTACTTTGAGAAGTTTATCGAAAACTGACTCAATATAGATTTGATATTCTCTCATTAAATTATTTTCGAGAAATGTTACCATGCTAGAATTTTTATTTCTTTTTTTAGAAGACATTGGTAAAGTGAAACATATATAGCAATAAATTAGAAAAATAACTGTTTCCAGAGCTAGGCAAGTACAACTTCTCTCAAGTACGATTATGTACATGCCCAGCTGTGACTGTGTCAACATAATTAACGTTCGACTATTTTTATAAGATAATTATTACACAAACAAGATGGAATAACTAAAGATTAATAAATAAAAATTATTTATTAAGACGAACGTTGAAGGAATATATTAGTTTAGAAATATCTTAATTGACTCATACTATTGAATCATTTAACTGTGTAATCAATTGTTTTGTTTTTTTCTTCAGATTTCGAAGATCTATTATATAATAAAATATTTTCAAAAAATTGCATTAATTAAACACTAAAATAACAAAGAACATTCAATAAAAATCTTTTGTGAATACTCAAGGGTGTCTGGAATGGGAGGGGGAGAGTGATTCCCTTCCATCCTTCTCAATCCTGGAAAATTTTTGCTTTCCTCAATGAAATTACACAATTTTCTTCACTTTTTTGCTCACAAGTTCTCCCAACAAGGAGCACCACCCCGTCCAATTTTAGTGACCTTGGGACACCTTTGCGAATACTCCTAGTAGATCTTACACTTTATTAATATTTCAATATTATATATAATTTTGATTGTTCGATCATTACCCTTTATTCTTATTTTCTATTATCTATTCATAATCATCGAAAGAAAAATTGAATAATCATTAAATCATCAGAAAAAATGATCATTATCATGAATGGAATAGTAACATGACAAATAACATTTAAATAAGAGAATATTAAATCTCTAATCGCAATAAAGAATATGTTTTATTTCTATCTAAAATTGTATTCATTCCTTCAAGTTTTAACACAATACTCCAATTATCGTCAGGAATAACAATACAGAACTAAACGGGAAACTCTCTCCCTCTGTTTATATATACAATAAGAGAACAAATAGGTTAATTAGTTCGGTATTTCCATCGGGTTTCTACCACGTTCACATTAAGTATCTCCAATCAACGTGAAAATTTTAGCATTTGTAGAGCTCGACT